ACCCGTATACGTACCCGGACCAATAGAATCGAGCAGTAACGAGTTTTTACGAACAACAGACTTTGAATACGTAAAACTGTATTTTGTTTACGATGGAAAATACACCTCGATCGATGTTCATAAAAGTCAACAAGAAAGAGAGTTTATAGTACATTTATCGTTTGCCGAAGGTTCCGACTCCATCCTTGAAGGTGGTGGTTTTATTTCTAGAGCCAAGATAAACATCGAAAAAGAAAAAATAAAATATTCCTATCATCTTAACGAGGACCATACGAAAAAAGAAATGTCGTTAGTACGCGTAAATGTTTTTACTTTTAATACCCGCAAATATAATAATGCTAGGCCAAACAAGCACGCTCTATATGATATTACGTGGTTCCATTTATCGGAAATTCACTTAATTTAACGACTTAAAAAATGGAACTCGAAAGCAGACAACAATACATGATAGACAAACAAGAAGAGTTGAAAATAAAGTTGAGACAGTACAATTCATGCAGGAAAACAAGGAGTAGAATCGATTCTTTCTCCAAAACAGCGAGCACAGTTCTAACGATAGAAGTAACGGTGTCAACAGCCGTGACTGGTGGATTAATGCTTCCGGTCATCGTCCCAACCGTATTGGCTGCATTGACAGCCGTTCAAACGACTTCTTGCGGTCTCATCACTTTAGGTTTCACGAGCAAAAAGAAAGCTCATTATAAAAAGAAAACGGATATCTTGAATATGTATCTTAATCAATTGTACATCTTTTTCGAAAGATCGAGAGAAGACAAGAACATAACAGTTGAAGAATTACAAGAATTCAATGAAATTTTGGACAAATTCAATACAGAAATATCAGCGGTCAAAATAAAGAAATAATCAAAAATATATACTTAAAAAAATATGAATAAAATCGAACTTGATGAAACATTGATAGAAAACGCCCTATTTTCCGATGTTGTCAAGGCTATCTCTGATAAATTTAAAACATTCAAAGGCCAAATTAAAATAGATGGAGAGATAGTCGAGGAAGGGAATCACAGACAATACATGTCACTCCTCGGTTTCAATGCCAAAACTTTTCACAATATCTTTTCATATATGGACAAAAAATCCAATGCTTCCGATTGGTATTTTACAGGAAAAATAATTTTAATGAAAGACAATTTCCAAGAAATAAAAAGATCGAGAGTTGGTAGAGGAGGAACTGATTTACTTAAAAAGATAAATGAATACGAAGGCGAAAATTGTTACATACCTACAGATGGTCACTGTTTTATCAAATGCGTCAATCGTGTTTTAAACGAAGACTACACGAGAGAATTTCAAGAATACATCAACGGGTTTTCAAAAGCAAATAGAAAAGGAGTGATGACATGTGCTAGAATGAAGGAATTCAACACGAAATTCAACACTTCGTTTCAAATTTATAATCCCAAAAACAGACATTTTCATCCCAGAGACGTTCACGATGAATTAGATTGGGTTTTTTACTTACACAACTTGCATTTCTGTTTGATTAGAAGAAGCCAAAAAAGTTTGGGTGTGGAACAGGTGTGGAAAACGTGTAGAGACGCAGTAACACAGGTTTCACCTCTCAAACTAAACGTGCTTTCAAGTATGAGTGATGATGCGTTACTCGCTTGGGATTGCGAAACGTATTCAGAAAAAGACACGCGAAGAGCAATTCCTTATGCCTGCACTTTAATTAATTTAGAAAAACTAAGGAAAATGTTAAACAGAATAAATAATCTCTTTCCAGATTTAAAGTCGTCAGATCCCATTCCAGAAGAATTTTATGATAAACTAATGAATGTAGTAGAAATATTTGTAGGTACAGATTGCATCGATCAAATGTTGAAATATTTAGGTCAATATGATAGAAAGAGATTAATATTAATTTCTCACAACGGCAGTGGATTCGACAACTGGATCGTGCTTAAAAATACAAAAAAACTAACGCATTGCCCTTTAAAAACACCCAGAGGAATTCTATCTTTTCCATACACGGATGAAGATTTACAGAAAAAATGGAAAAGACAGAAAGAAATAAAGGGTAATTATTTACAACATATTAATTTCACGTGTTCCTATCAACACGAATCCTCTAGTTTGGCTGCATGGGGAAATTCTTCCAATCTTCCCGCGAATTTGAGAAAGATTGCCGACGTAGATATCGCTAAATACACGCAAGACAACTGGGAGGAATTGAGACACGAATGGGAACCTTACGCCAAGAGAGACACTCTCTGTTTAGGAGCTTGTTTGATAAAATACAACCAAGTCACGAAAGAAGTTGTAAACCAGAATATGTCCAATAATCTAACGGCTCCATCTTTATCGGGATGGTATTATTTATATCATTACGATTAAGAAATGGTTGAAGAAGAATGGTATGAAACTACTAGAATGGTTGCGAAACATACCGAAAAAGAAAATATAGAAAAAGTTTATTCGCACACAAATCCTTTTATAAGAAATTTTATCAGATGATCTATTAAAGGAGGAAGAGTTTCGGCAAATAGAAAATCATTTGAAACGAACAAAATGGATGAAATTTGTAACGTATTAAAGGAATATATTTCACAAACAGAAAGTAATAACATAATTGATTTATTCAAAGAATACAGCGCAAGCACAAAAGACAAAACGGAGGTTCATTCGAGACTTAAAAAAATAGAATGTACTAAACTAATGGCATTTGATGCTAATGGGTTTATACGCTTCCGCCATGTCGGATTTAGACAGTGAATATCCGAGAGCCGAAAGTGGAAGACCGTTTCTACCAGAAGAAGAAAAAGAATTTGTAAAACTTCAATAAACAAAAATTCAGACCTAGAACAGCTATTTTAACAGTGTGGTTTGACTATCCCAAAAACATGTTCTTCCAACCGATACCAGCTAAAGATAAAATCACTTTCACGAATAAAGAAGGTAAAAAGGAAACTGGTAACAAAATCAGGTTCAGAGATGGTTTCTGTCACGACGTTTTAACATCGGTCGATATTCAAGAAATAGTGAAAGCCGGTGGACAAATTATTAGAATATTAGATGGTATAGTTTACGAAGAAAATTTTAAAACTCCACCCTATAGAGATTATATTTTAATTTTGAGAGATTTAAGAAATAAATATAAACGAGAAGGTACTATCGTGGGTAGTAATTGCATGAAATTATTAGGTAATTCCTTGTATGGTAAATCAATTCAGAAAGATATATTCATAACTAGACATTTATGGAATGAAGCAACTTTACAGGCCAACTTTGATTCACGCGTTAAAACCTATGAGAAAATTAATGATACTCAATATATTTGAAACAGAAATTGAAGAAAAAGAGATTACTACCGAAGATAGTAAATCTACACTACTAACACCTAGTCATTTGGGATCATTCGTTTTATCTCACAGTAAAAAAATAATGAACAATTTCATTCACGTCATAAATGGATTTTATAAACCCGAAATTTACTATACCGACACCGATAGTTTGTACATTTCATCCAAAAATTGGAAAAAACTAAACAGAGCTGGTTTGGTCTCCGAAAAAGACTATTGCAAAGGTAAAAACGATTACGGTGACGGTTGAATTATATTTGGTTTATATTTAGCACCAAAAGTCAAATACAACATCGTTTTGACTTCTGATGGTGTCTTAAAAGAAAAGAAAACGTTTAAAGGTTATTCTAATGATAAGATAAGTGTAGAAGATTATGTTCAGTTAGCAAGTGGACATGATGTGTCGAACGAATTTAATAAACCATGGGAAAAAAGTTTCACCAATGGAGTAGTTATTCCAAATGATAAACAAACTAAAGTTTTTAGAAGTTATTTGAATAATGTTAAAAGAAAACCACCAAACAGTGAAGAAATTATGTATCCTTACAATGACAAAGATGAGTATAGTTTTGACGAAAACTATGAATTTGATGATTTCGATTATCTTTCTAATCAAGAAGAGAATGAAGATTGTTTTAAATGAAGTTGAATGACAATTTCTTCGTTGCCAAAGTCTATGAACCTGTTTTTACCGTCTTTGATTTCCAGATTTATATCTTTGATCATGAAAGAATTGACTGGTAAATAGGTTGTTTGAAACGGTTTCTCTATAATTCTGTATCCTATCTGCACCGAAAAAGTCGGTATGCTGTATATGATTTGACGTTTGTGCTTGTTGAAAAATCCACCGTTGATCAAATTACAGTGAATGTTGATCACGTCGATATCATTCTCGATGTTGGCCTTGTGCGGTGCCAATGTCGATTGCGCGTATATTCGTTTATCGAACCTTAGTAACGCATTCAACGAATTTTCTACGTTGAAATCAACTTGACTGTTATTTCTCAAGATCAGTTTTATTTTGTTCAGATTCAAATTACCTTCGAATTCGATATTGTTTTTGCCGTTCACGCTTCTTGCGTATTCGGATAGGTAATCGTTGATGGCTACGTATTCGTAGCTCCTCGGTAGTAAGCTTATGGTTTCGAACGTAACTCCGTTATCCGTCGATATTTTTAGTTGATTGTTTTTTTCGTTGATGTTTCTAATGGAATTGTAAACGGAGAAATACTTTAATCCCAGTTCGTACTGTTTATTGCGATCGAGTTCATACTCGTAGTCTAGAGACAATTTGATGTCTGGTTTATTCGAGGTGATAACGAACAATTGTTCTTTATTGGACATTTTTAATGATGTTTATATAGTCTTTTTTAGTGATGATTTCTTTCTCCAAAAGTCGTTTTAATATGGCATTGACTTCGTTGTATTGTCTGTCCGATCGATGACCTTCCTTCATGGCCGCTAATATTATTTCTAATCTATTAAGCAATTCTTTATTGTCGTCGGATAAAAACGTTATACCTTGTCCAGATGCCACCATATCATCGAATTCGTCTATTTCTTGTATGATTGGATAATCATCTACATCCTCTTCATCTTGCTCAATTACTCTTTTATATAGTTTAACTTCTTTCAATCTTCTTGTTTCGGGTCGTGATTTTCTTATTGCATCTAAAAATTTGGAGTATGCTACTAAATCCTTATAATCGGCAATGCCAACATCCTTGCCATTCATTAAATCTATTAATCCTTTCGTTAATGTGTATATATAATCTTTTGTGTCGATTTTGAATTGTGGTGAATTTCCACTAAATATAATTCTAAATCCATTAAACAATAAACCTTGATTATCAACGATTGGTGAAATGCTCTTTGGTAAATCTGGGTCAGGGTTTGAAAAAAGACGATTTATATCATCTAATGTCCTAATTATAATACCATTATATTCAATCGGTTTGAGTTCTATATGAGGTGTGGGTTCTAAAGCTAATTTCTTTTTAATATCCTCTTGAGATTTTAATATGGGTTGAAATAGAGTCTGTAGATTTTCCGTTAATCCGAGTTGTTGTAATCTGTTATTTTCAACTTGGGTCTTTATTTTATTCTTAGCTTTGATATATTCTCGATTTCTTTTTAAAAAATTATTCCAATCCGTCATTTTTGATTTTTCGTAATATTGAAATATGTCTTGAACATCTTTCTTTGGTAAATATTCCAAAGCTTTGAGGAATTGATAATACGATTGTTCTGGTGTTGTTGTGTAGATATACAGAGAATCGAAATCTAAAAGGTTTGGTGTTGTCAACATGTTAAAAGTGAGATGAGTTTTCCCAGAACCTTAACTACGGCATATACACATGAGCATTGGGTTATTAGGAAATATTTCCGAATGATTAAATTTCTTGCCCATTTTTATTTATTACATTTTCGTACCAAAAATCACCCCGTTGCCTTTATACTTTGAAAGGAAGATTCCCTTGCCCGAACGTATGTTTTTAAAAAATATGGTGTCGCCCTTGTGTTTGACCTTCATTTCTCCGGTGTCGATTTTATCTATTAATTTGCTTAATCCCTCTTTAACGGTTTTCTCGGTTTCTTCGCCAAATCTTTGTCCGAATTCTTTAACCGTCCCTAATATATCTCCTACTCCCGAACCTCCTCGTGCTTCTCTTTCCATTGCCAAATTGTGTTTACGTGCTTCGGCGTTTGCAGCGGCTTCAGCTTTCTTATCGTTGACAGCTTTGGCTATCCCAGCAGCTCCACCAGCAGTTGCACCGGCTGCAGCTAAACCAGCAAAGATTAAAGGTAAGAAAGGTAAAAATCCACCTTTTGTAGTTAAATTCTCATCAATTCTTTCCAAGTCTATATCGTCTCTGACTTTGCAATGTTTGTATTTATCGATAATCTTTTGGGTTATATGCACTTTTTTACCATTGTAAGTTATTAGAGTCGGCGAATTCGTTTCCATAGCTTCTATTATTTTCATAACTAACGTTTCTGGTTTTATTTTTAAAGGGTGTTTTTTTTATTCAATTCTTATCATTCTTCTATCTGATATTTTAATCAAATGTTTTGCTTCTTCCAGCAATAAACAGTAGCCGGTCACATCTCCTTGTGTTTTTTCAATATGAATATTTATGTTGACTCCTGTTTTGAAAAGATCTTCTTGATGAGCTGACAGATCGAAACAAAAGATTGGATGATTGAGTGAAAAATCTGTGTATTCAAACTGAGGCGTATTTCCAAACAATTCGCACATGTTTTTATAGTTTATGTACAATTCGTTGTAATCTTTTTTGGAAAGATCAATTGTCAAAGGTTGATTGGGATAATTATCGTTGTTCAATCTGACTTGAACTTTGTGAATGATGGGATCTTGAGTATTGTTCAATGCCACTCTGAAAATGTTGTTGTTGTTTGTCTGAGAGTCTGGTTTTTGAAACCGACCATTGCTGGTTTGACAGTGTTGGTAATTGGCCACGTGGTGGATTCTCCCGTTAAAGTCATGCTACCTACCGTGTTACGACGAAGAAAAGCAATTTCGATGTCTTTGGTTAAAGAGTTGAATATTCTCGTTTCCATTTCTACGGAAGGAGTGATTACCGGTATGTAAAGTTGGATATTCGTTATTTCCAATTTAGCGTCAGAGTTGTTTTCACCAAAGAATATCTTGTTGTCGTTGATTTCTCTTTGCAAATGAATTTTATACGGTAAACCTATGGAAACCTTTCTGTGTTCCAAGAGACCAAATAAAGGATACAACTTCCAATTAACGTAATTACCCCATCTGTTGTTCTCGACAACGTTGTTGTATTGAAGCGCTCGTTTTTCAAATCCGTGATTTACTCCACGAGTCACTCTTTCCAGTGTGTTTCTAGCAACTACAATTAAAATCCTAGCAAGGTCTGCGTCATTTGCTACAGTTCTGACCGGTTCTTTTAAAACTTCTCCGTCACCGACATCGGGAATCCATCCCGAAACTGAATCGTAGTTTTTGGGATACAGAACCGTTTTCAACATTGTGTCAAACTCGCCGGGGTGTTTTATGGTCTCTATCGGATTTGAACCAGCTTCCAAAACCATTTCGCTGAATAAAGACGGAAAGAAGTTGTTTCTAAAGTCGTGTTGGTTTGTGGAATTCGATTCTGAGTGGCGTCTTTGATTTTGAAATCGCATCGGAAATGGGCATCGGAAAGCAGCAACCAATTGGACAACGAATTAATTTCAAAGGTAACTCTTCCTCCGTCGTTTATTTGGGTCTTTGTCCCTACCGATGGGGAGATGATTACGTAATCCTCTTTCTTCTTGTTGAACGAATATTGAATCGGATCATACAATTGAAAGATTGGATCCAATCTGTAATTTTTGCTTGCCATTTTTATCCAATGATTTTAAACCCTTTTCCTTGTTTTTCTAGGGCTTGTCGTTCTAGTCTCTTGTTTCTTAGTTCTCTTATTAGCTGCAGTTCTTTAAGTTCGTCAGATTTTTTCACTGCATCGCTTATATTTACTCCTGCGTTTGCCACAGATCCAAGAGCTTGCGCTTCTGAGGAAATGAGGGATTTGTTGTTTGAGACAAAATTGGCCACTTTGGGGATGAGAGATGTTAGCGCAGAGAAGAAACCGTCTCCTTCGAATTTTTTTTGTTCGTGTTTTAAAATTAAAGACATTTTTAATGCGGTTATTTTATACTGTATTATTTTTAGTGATTCTTGTCTGTGGTTTGGGTAATTTATATGGAGTCTGTTATAATACAGTTTGGGGAGTCTGTTATAATACATTTTTAACAGTTTGGTTTGGGGAGTCTGTTATAATACATTTTAACAGTTGTGTCTTTTCGGATATGATGCATTGAAAAAGCTGCGCATGCGCAGAAGTGAAATGCGTCATATCCGAAAAGACATATACTACTTGGGTTGAATTTAGCAATGAAAGTATTGGAAAAGATTTAAAAGCTAATTACCATACAAATGTAATGTCCTCTTGGACACCTACTAAACCAATTTCAATACAAATCAGAATTGGTAAATTTAAAAGTGCAGAATTAATGAGAACTCAAATACCATTGAGACCCTCAGCAGCTAAAACTATTCACCGTTCACAAGATGACACAGTAGATGAAGTTGTTGTAGATTTTGATGGTCGTAAGATGGCTCATATCCACTTTGAGCCGTGTAAAAACCCTGGAAGGGTTACATATAATAAATTTAGCTGAAAATAAAATGAAAGTTTCAATGGAAGTTAAAGAAGAAATGAATTCATTAAGAAAAGAAAGAAATCTAAAATTTCAGACTGATGATTTCCCAGTTTGTTCTCAAAGTAAAATTGTAATTTCATATCAAAATGCAAGATCATTGCAGAAATATTTTGAACATGTGAAATTACACCCAGTATTTATGAATTCATCTGTAATAATAATCTCGGAAAGTAGATTAAAACTAAAGCAAGATGGAATATATGATATTCCTGGTTTTAAATTATTTAGAAATGATTCAACCACGGAAAATGATAAAGCATTGCATGGAATGGCAATTTATATTAGAATCAAGAATGTTAAAGTTGAAAATATTAATTCGTATTAAGTTGAAAAGTCTTTAATAACCATGGATATTGTATATGAAAATAAAAAAAATAATTTGCAAATATTGGGTCTTTACAAACCTCCCAAAGTATCAGTTAAATGTCTTTTATATGCTTTAAATACAGTAAGTTCTAAAATGGATCAAAATACATTTAATGTGATAATTGGAGGTTTCAATATCCAGTCAAAATCTGAAGATTGTAAATAAGTTGAAAATCACTTGAAAACATTTGAGCAAAAAGTACATGTTCCTTCAACTGAAGCAGGAATTATAATTGATATTAGTAATGTAGCGGAATTGCTTAAGTACGTCACTCATGTCAGTGATATTTACATGGTGTTCCCTTGCTGGCTATTTTTAGACTTGGTCGAACTTGATTTACATGGCCGGGTTTTACCATTTAGACTGTGCATGGTATGTTACGTGGCAGAGCCTCGCATTCATAGTTGTGATGAATCCTTATCCAATGGGAGCCGATGTTTGGCATGTGCATGTGCAAAATCGGAGTGTATAAAAGCTCTTCTGTAGCGTTTGTTAGTCGGTCAGTCGGGGCGTTGCACATGGTAAGTTATTTCCGAAAGGTGTATGGGAGTTTCTTGACTCCACTCATGGACTTCTAGGAATAACTTGCTGTGGACTGGCTATGCCTGAGTTGCGTGATTGAGAGTTCTAAGAACTCCGCTCTATTTCGCAACTCACGGAACCTTGTTTGGGTGTAGGGTTTTGTTTTGTAGATGTTTTGTATGTCAATATGTTTATGTTGGTTTAAAAATAAAACGTCTTGTGTAATCTTCTTCTCTCTTATTTCCTCACATTTCACAGTATTCTGAACCTGGAATGTATGCAGGTGGGATTGAGTTGTGCGAGAGCAGTGCCGCCCCTTTCCCTCCTGCTACATATTTTTGGCGAGCTTGCCAGGATACTGTGATTTTGTGAGGCATTAGGGGAAAAATTTAAGAAAAAACTAGGTTCGGTTCCCAAATAATAGGTTTAGTTTTAATATGGATAATTTTCCTTGGGGTGATGGTGCTCAGGGTCAAAGTACTAATTCAGTTAGTAATACTGTAAGTGTTGATTCTATTATTCCCCCCAACAATTAGTAGGTCGACTGATAGGATTGCACTGATTTTCAGAAGTACCCCAGAATTTCGTCCATACTCTTGGGAACCAGGTAAGAATGAATATGACGATTTGGAATACGAAATATGCCCAACGGAATATTATAGCAGGTCTAGGGTTGGATTTCGACAAGGGGATAATGAGATCGGTCATAGGTTTCTAGACGCTGTTAGGGAGCCAGGGCATCATGTTGTTGTCACTACTACTGGACCCAAACCAGGGTCAAACTCGGAGCCTTGATATATGACCACATCTACCCGGTCAACATATACCTACGTTTGTAAATGCGCCTTTGATGACTGAACGCACAGGTTATGAGAAGTCCAAAGTAGGTAACATGATAAGGTCAGGATATTGTACTGTTGAAGGTCCTTCTGTTGGTCGAAATATCGAAACACGGAGACATACCATATCTAGGAAGGAAAAAGAACCAGAAAAATTTGATACAATTCGAAAGAGTTTCTGATTGGAACCAATGGTTGGTCATGTGCTTGAGGGGTACAGCCTTGAGATTGTTAAGCACTCTTACCCCAGCACAGCTCGATGATTATGACGAGGTCAAGTTAGCTTTGGAGCGTAGGTTTAATCCAGATCACAGACTTGTAGCCCATCGGGTTGAATATAGAAACAGGAGGCGTTACCGTGACAAATCAGTGGCAGATTTAGGTTACGATTTAAAACGCTTGGCGTAAAAAGCCTTCCCTAATTCTCAGTCTGAAAGTTTGGAAGTACATATTGTTGACCAATACATTCATGGGTTGGGAAATCATGAGCTAAAAAGACATGTTCAGTTTTCACATCCTCAAACCTTAGAGCAGGCAATTGGCGTCGCTATAGAGTACGAGGCGTTTGAGGGTCCGGTTGATCGTAACCGAAAGCCATATTTTGAAAATGATAGGAATGTTAACACTAGTTATGTACCATATAATCCTCGAGGTAGCAGAATTGATGGGCAAAGAGTTTATCGCAGAGGTGATGACGGTCGCCCAAATGAAGGTTCACGATTCGAGAGACCTTCGCGAAGCTATCCGCAAGTCCAACCTTTGGCCCCTCACAATAATGTTGTTTGTTATTACTGTTCGGAACAAGGTCATATCAAAGTAGACTGTCCTAGGTGGAAGGTTGTGCAAGAAACCAGGGAAGCTTTAAACCGGTAAGGACTGACACTTTGGCTGCCACGTCAGTCCTCATTGAAAAAGAGCATCAATTTGGAAAAATTGAAACTGAAATTAAGGTTGATACACCTGTCTCGTTGAAATTGTATGGTAACGAGGTTAGCAAACGTACTCTTGGTGTTAGTGTCGACAATGTTAGTAATATTAGGGATAAAAAGGAAATTATTAATAAAAGTGCTAATCAAGAGACAGATGCTAGTGAGGATATAAAAAAGGAGGAATGTGGGAATGATGTTGAAATTGTGCATGAGAATGAAATGCAAACTGTTATAGTAGAACGCCCATTTGCTCCGTGTCTATATGCTGAAGTAGATATACCCCAGTACAAAAGTATCTCAATGTTAGTGGACACAGGTTCAACCTTTTCACTCTTTTCTTTTGTCGATTATCTCAAGCTTCCTAACCGTCCACTTTTGTACGATACCAACGCAGTTCTAAGCACTGCGGATGGTCGCCCTCTATGGCCTGAAGGAATGCTTCGTTTGGAATTTGATGTTGCAAACAAGAGTTTTAGACACGATTTCCTAGTTGTTGATATGAAACTTAATGGTGTGTTAGGTATAGATTTTATTCTGAAGCATAAATATAATATTGATGTAACCGAGATGGCTCTGGTGCATGGTCAAGAACGCATTCCATTAACTCCACAAACTAAAGTTCCAACTTGTGCACTTGTTAGGCTCGCTAAAACTGTCAGGATACCTGCTATGTCTGAAAAGATTGTTCAGGGTATTGCTAGTGAAGATTTAGGTGCAGTTGCTATGTTGTTGGAACCAGGAGAAACATTGGTTAATAGGAAGTTGCTTTTGGCAAAATCGTTAGTTAATGGGAATAATATTAATATGTGTATTCTTAACATGAATAATAAGCCTGTTGAACTTCCTGTTGATAGCGTGATAGGTAGGGTAGAAACAGTAACGGAATTAGATAATATACATAGTGGTATCAAATCTCCGTCCGAAACTGTACCCGAACATTTACAATTCTTGGTTAAAGAGGCATCTGGCAATTTAAAAGTCAAGAAGCTTGAGAAGTTAATCATTGAGTTTGAGGATATTTTTATGGACTCTGATGGTCAGTTAGGTAAGACTAATTTGACAGAGCATATCATTGACACTGGGGATGCTCGTCCTATCAAGTTGCCTCCTAGAAAAGTTCCAACTCCAGTTCGGAAAAGGAGATACACAACATGTTGGTAAATGGCATTGTAACTAAAAGTGACAGCCCTTGGAGTAGTCCTATTTGTCTGGTTAAGAAAAAGGATGGAAGTCATAGATTTTGTGTTGATTTTAGAAAGCTTAACGAGGTCACGCACAAAGATTCCTACCCTTTACCTCAAATAAGTCAAATTTTAGAAAGTTTAGGAGCTAAATACTTAAGTACATTAGACTTGGCTAGTGGTTATTGGCAAGTAAAACTGTCCGACGACGCTATTGAAATGACTGCCTTCACTACACATTGTGGATTGTATCAGTTTAAAGTTATGCCATTTTTTACAAATGCGCCAGCTACTTTTCAAAGATTGATGGAACTGGTTTTGAAAGGTCTTCAGTGGAAGCAATGTTTATGTTATATCGATGATATTATCATATTTGGTTGTGAATTTGAAGCTGCACTTGCAAACTTATAGTTGGTTTTCGTTAGATTACGTGATGCTAATTTAAAACTTAAACTCAGTAAATGTAGGTTATTTCAGACTCAAGTAAAGTTTTTAGGGTATGTCGTGTCTGCTTCTGGTATTGAGTGCGACCCGGAAAAAATAAAAGCTGTCAGTAAGTGGCCTGAGCCCGAAAATTTAAAGGATGTGAAAAGTTTTCTTGGGCTGTTAGGGTATTATAGGAAATTTATTGAAGATTATGCTTCTATCGCTAGTCCTTTAGTAAATTTAACTAGAAAGGATGTCAAGTTTGATTGGGATAATAAATGTAAATCTGCTTTTGAACAACTAAGGAGAAAATTGACTTCTCCACCTATACTAACATTCCCAAACGAAACTGGTCTGTTTATTCTTGACACGGATGCTAGTGGTAAAGCGTTATGTGCGGTCCTTTCTCAAGTACAAGATGGAGAAGAGAGAGTTGTTGCATATGCCAGTAAGACATTGAAGCGGTCTCAAGGCAACTACTGCGTAACAAAGCGTGAACTTTTGGCAATTGTCACATTCATGAAGTATTTTCATTATTATCTTTACGGTCGTAAGTGTTTGGTTCGTACTGATCATGCTTCTCTAAAGTGGTTGCAGAATTTTAAAAATCCTGAGGGTATGCTAGCCAGATGGTTGACAACGTTGCAAACTTATAACTTTGAATTTGAATTACGTATGGGTAAAATGCATGGAAATGCTGACGCACTCTCTCGTCTCCCAACTAATAAGTGCTCTAATAACTTCTGCACCGATTGTTCTGAAATAGTCCCAGATGGTGATTCAATAGGATTGACTGAGGAACTGGAAAGGGCAGCTTTAAGCTGGCTGCTCTACCAGTTTTTCGATCAGGCAAATGTGTCTAGGGCAGTCGTCAATACATTAATAAGCGATCAAAATGTACCTCATGATTCTAATTGGCTTCCTACTTATAATGTTCTTGAGATCCAGGATATGCAAAAGAATGATCCTGGAATTGGTGTCATTTATAAAAGTCTTGTAGAATCTGGAGTTCGACCAGAAAAATCGAAAGTGAAATCTTTTCAACACGAAGCTCGACTGCTTTGGTCTCAATGGGATGATTTAGTAATGAGGTCGAATATATTGTATCGAAAAGCTGTTAATGATCTTGATGAAGAATTTTTACAACTCGTTGCTCCTCAGGAGATCCGGGATAATCTTTTTACGGAATTACATGTTAACAAAATTGCAGGTCATTTTGGTCGGGATAGAACCCTTCATACCATTAAACATAGATTTTACTGGCCTGGGATGACAGCTTCAATTAAAAGATGGTGCGAAACTTGTGATTTGTGTGCACGATGTAAACCCGGTCCGGGAATAGGAAAGTCATCCCTTAAGCAATTTCAATATGGTGCGGCCATGCAGTGTATTGCCATTGACATCTTTGGTCCGTTACCTCTCACTGATGATGGAAATGAGTATGTTATGGTCGTAGGAGACTATTATACCAAATAGGTGGAAGCTTTTGCCATAGTCAATCATACTGCTCTTACTGTCGCGGACAAATTGGTCACCGAGGTCATTTGTAGATTTGGATGCCCTGCACAAATCCATACTGACCAGGGTAGGGAGTTCGAGTCTGCTTTATTTACGGACATATGTCGGAAACTGGACATTGACAAGACTCGTACTACTCCATACCATCCTCAGTCAGATGGCTTAGTTGAACAGTTCAATTGAACTTTGAAACAGATGCTTAAAATTTTCTGCAGTGAGCACCAGAGTAATTGGGATGATTACCTTCCATATCTGTTGATGGCATATCGTGGGACAGTCCATAATTCCACTGTTTGCTCACCTAATTTACTGATGTTAGGTCGAGAATTGTCTTGTCCGGTTGATTTAATCTTTGGGCTACCACCAGATTATAGTGAAGTTTGCACAAAAGGATATTCAGAATGGCTGCAATCTGCTATGAATGCTTCCTTTTATTTCGTTTTTGATAATTTGGGGAGTGCAGCTAGAAGACAGAAAAAGGGTTATGATAAGGATTTGAGATGTAAATCGTTTGAAGTAGGAATGTGGGTGTGGCGTTGGTATCCTCCAAGTGCTAATACAAAATTATCTTTGGGATGGACTGGTCCGTACTTAGTTGTCAATAGGAAAAATGACTTGACTTATGTGGTACAGAAGTCTGAGATGAGCCCTCCAGTTTTGGTACATGTTAACCATTTAAAGAAATGTGTAGGTAATGAAACTCCCAGGAACTGGCTTGATCCTGGCGAAGAGTCTTCATATGATGAAAGTTTTGAGCTTGAATCCGAATCTGAGGATTCTTGCAGCAGTTCGGATGAGTCTGAAACCTGCGTGGTAACCAGAACTGGCAGACGTGTACGTAAAAAATTCCCTTCTCTCCAAAAAATTAGTTGGGAAAATATGTAGGCTGTTACATATTATTAGGCTAGGTGTACTAATGATTTCTTACTTTCAGAAATGGAATTACAACTTAAAGTGGACCCTGCAGACTTAAGGGAATTTCAAAATTCTTTAAGGGAAGATTTCCCTGATGATGGTCTACGATGTAGAGTTGTTGGGTGCATGACTACCGATGTAATGAATAAAAGCTGATTCATGAAACATTGGAGGACTTACCATACCAGATGTGTTGTCAAATTTACATGCTGTATTTGCAACTGGAGTTTTAACAATAAACCTAAAGTAAAGCGGCATATGAAAACTCACCATGATAAGTTGGGGGGTGGTTTTTCCTCAGAGGAGGTGGTGAATACCAAGTACATCGATCCCATTGATGTGTTGCCACGTTTAAAATACGGTGCTGCGAAACCCAGACAGATGAACCAGTCTTCTGGTTTAGTTGCGTCTTTCTCCATTCAAGAACGGAGGATGACTTCACCTTGACAGAGGGGGAAGATGGAAAAGTGATGTTACAGAAGCCTGGTGACGATACAATAACCGCACCAGGTGATGAGATCGACCAGCTTGACTGGGATTTTGTATCATATAATTTTGTTTGTGATGTAAAATATTTTATGTATTATTGTTCTCGCCCACTTTTGTTGAAAGCGGGCTCGACTTTGGCAAGGGGGGAGTGTAGCGGATTTGCTTAAGTACGTCACTCATGTCAGTGATATTTACATGGTATTCCCTTGCTGGCTATTTATAGACTTGGTAGAACTTGATTTACATGGCCCGGTTTTACCATTTAGACTGTGCATGGTATGTTATGTGGCAGAGCCTCGCATTCATAGTTGTGATGAATCCTTATGTTGCATGTGCAAAATCGGAGTGTATAAAAGCTCTTCTGTAGCGTTTGTTAGTAGGTCAGTCGGCGCGTTGCACATGGTAAGTTATTTCCGAAAGGTGTATGTGAGTTTCTTGACTCCGCTCATGGACTTCTAGGAATAACTTGCTGTGGAATGGCTATGCCTCAGTTGCATGATTGAGAGTTCTAAGAAGTCCGCTCTATTTCGCAACTCACAGAACCTTGTTTGGGTGTAGGGTTTTGTTTTGTAGATGTTTTGTATGTGAATATGTTTATGTTGGTTTAATAATAAAGCGTCTTGTGTAATCTTCTTCTCTCTTATTTCCTCACATTTCACAGTATTCTGAACCTGGAACGTACGCAGGTGGGATTGAGTTGTGCAGGAGCAGCGCCGCCCCTTTCCCTCCTGCTACAGTAATATACCTGAAATATATACTCAGTGTAGTACATTTGAAAATTATTATTCAGATCATAAGATGATTAATATCACTGTGAGCTCTGAAAAAATAATTAAAGTAAAAAAAAAATATACTAATATAATCGAAAAAAGGTATTTACCAATAACACCTCCATTATACAGCAAACACAGAAATCTTTTACAAATTTCAATAAAGTAATAAAAGTAAATCAAAACACTAATGTATGAGAGGATTTTAATACCTATTCATACTGATAATCACCGGAATGTAATCATTATTTATGTAAATAGTAAAACTATTAAATATTATGATTCCATTTACAGTTTTGTACGTGGACAAAATACAATGTTGAAGGTAAAAGCTTTTCTAGAAAGATTAGAAGATGAAACAATTTCTTCTTGGAAAACTATCTTTGAAAGGAATATAACTATACAGCCAAATTCTTATGATTGTGGTGTATGTGTTTGTATGAATTCTGAATTAGAATTAATAAAAAAATCTCTAAAAGTAAGTAAACAATATATAGTGAATTATAGAAATATAATGAAAAATTCAATAATCCATTACAGTAATTAATGTTTTTTAAACATAAACTCTAATCTCAGTGTCTTTATGACTTGACTCTTAACTGCTAATGTCAATGTCTTTATGGCTTGACAATAAGCTATTATGTTACTGTCTATATGACTTGACATTACTAGCCATATTATATTCCTATATGACAAGTTATGAAAAGTATTTAAAGAAAACCTCAATATAAAAGTGCCTAAATTTATTTTGTAATTTTTATAAAAGATCTATTTATAGTATTCAATTTAATTTTGACTAAGGCCATACAAAAGTTTTTTATGCTTTAATCCTACTTATTTTGGTTATTTATACAACAATTTTTTCTACTTTACATCAAAAGAGACTAAATCAAAATAGATTTGATAAAGTAATTCTATAGAACAAATTAATCCTTGTAATTGTACCTTGTAATTTTCATCTTACTAAAATATAACGTATGCTTATTATGCTTCCTCTTTCTTTTGTCTGTAATCCTACAAAAAAGAATTATTCTTAATAGCCTAAATCTATGGATTGTTTCTTACTTTTATGAAAAATGAAATTTCTGGCAAAAGGGTTTTCAATTTAAGAAAACGATTTCTACATGATCTATACTTGTATTCTGATAGGAATTTTCTTTTTTTGGTTGGTATACTATTATATTTTTTTTCACAAAGGTTTAATTAATTTTCAGTACTCTTTTTGGGGTTATTTTTCTTGAATTTGCTGCTATGAAAGGTAGTATTATCATTTCTGACAACTGCCAGTGGGCGTATGTTACCTTACTTGGCAAGTATTCTTTATTTGATCTTGATGAAACTTGGTATGCATGTATATATTGATGAGATCTCGGTCAAGTCCGAAAATGGTAATAATAGAATGAACGGTGTATGAATTATTGCCCTTGACTTAATAAAAACGCGTCAAATTTGGCTTGTATGCACGATAAAGACTACTGTTTTTATTATACACCTACATTGTTGGAATTGTTGTTGGAATATTGCCATCGCCCCTGTCTGTCTTGTCCGTCCGTCCGTCCGTTCACATTTCTTGCAAGCGCGATAAAGGCTTCAGTTTTTATCCGATCTTGATGAAACTTGGTATGCATGTATATATTGATGAGATCTCGGACAATTCAAGAACGGTTTCAGAGTTATGGCCCTTGACTTAGAAAAAACGTGTCAAATTTGGCTTGTAGGCACGATAGAGACTACATGTTTTATCCGATCTTCATGAAACTTAATTAGTAATAATAGGATAAACCGTTTCAGAGTTATTGCCCTTCACTTAGAATCAACACGTCAAATTTGGCTTGTAGGCATCACAGAGACTACAGTTTTTATCTGATTGCCATCGCCCCTGTCCGTCTTGTCCGTCCGTCCATCCATTCACATTTCTTATAAGCGCGGTAGAGGCTTCAGTTTTTATCCGATCTTGATGAAACTTGATATTCATGTATATATTGATGAGATCTTGGTCAAGTTAGAAATTGGTCATAATCGGATGACTGTGTTCATTATGAATTAGCTGATAATTTTATGAGCTGTTTTAGCCTTGACTAGATGATTTTAAGATTATTTGAAAATTCATTATTAAGCCACTAAAGATTTTATCAGCTGGTAGTGGGCGTATGTTACCTTGCCCAGCAAGCTATCTTTTGATCTTGATGAAACTTGGCATGCATGTATATATTTATGAGATCTCGGTCTAGTTCGAAAATGGTAATAATTGGATAAACGGTTTCTGAATTATTGCCCTTGACTTTATAAAAACGTGTCAAATTTGGCTGGTATGCACGATGAAGACTACAGCTTTTATTTGATCTTGATGAAACTTGGTATGCATGTATATACTGATGAGATAGAAAAGGTAATAATTGGATGAACAGTCTCGGGTTATTGCCCTTGACTAAGTAAAAACGCTTCAAATTTTGGCTTGTATGCTCGATTGAGTTTATACTTGATCTTGATGAAACTTGATAATTATACTTTTATATATTGATGAGATCTCAATCAAGTTCGAAAATGGTAATAATCGGATGAATATTTTCAGAGTTAATGCCCTTGACTTAGTAAAAACCCTTCAAATTTGGCGTGTAGGCATGATAGAGACTACAGTTTGTATTTGATCTTGATGAAATTTGATGAGATCCTGTTCCTGGTCCTTAACTTAGCAAAAATGCATTAAAACTTGTTGGCTTGTGAACATGATAGCGGTGACAATTTATGTCAGAATTTTATGAAATTTTGTGTGTTTGATTAAATCAACAATATTTTGGACAAATTAGATTTTTGGTATGATTTGACACAGAAAGGTGACCGCCCTTGATATACTGAAAAGTTATGAAGGAAGTGGGCATGTCTTTCTAGACAACCACTTGTTAAAAATATATTAATCAAATTTGTTTTAGTAACATGAAATGAATAAAGGAATATTACCTTATATTAAGTAAAAAACAAAACAAAAAGGATTCTTGTATTGCTTTAGTGGTTTATATCATTATTCCATGGCGAATTTCAGATTGTTTGATTACTGATTTTTTTTTTAGTGCTTTGCCATATCCATCTATTTCAATATGTAATTTGAACCCTATGAAAGTTCACAATCTGAATCTTTCAACATGTAGTTTAATGAACCAGAATGGAATTACAAAAGAGCATTCACCTGAGGTAAGTGTCACATATTCAAAGCTTTTATACGCTCACATGGAGATTTGTAATAAATAATAAAACTTGAAATCAAATACCATCCTTTAGTACTAAAAGTTTTGACTTAATCAGGAGAAGAAACATGGTGGAATGAGGAAGGTGCAGGATCTGAGTTGACCTAGCTATTTTAATTTTTTTGTTCTTTGCCTCTATTGCTATTTTAGAAAAAATCTGCTAAACTCAGATGAAAAAGAGCTATTTTAGAAAATGTTTAAAATTATTGGCTCTATTTTAATCTATTCCTAGCTAAAATTACGCTATTATTATTAAGTGTGGATTATATTTGAGAATAGCTAGCTATTAGACGCTATTTTAGAAAAATAGAAATAGCTGAAAATAGAGCCGAAAATAGAAAAGTGTGGACTTAGAATAATTTTCAAATTTTTCTAAAATAGCGTCTAATAGCTAGCTATTCTCAAATATAATCGACACTTCATAATAATTGCAAAAATAGTGGAAAATTGAGTCGAAAATAGCGAGGAAGGTGCAGGATCTGAGTTGACCTAGCTATTTTAATTTTTTTGTTCTTTGCCTCTATTGCTATTTTAGAAAAAAATCTGCTAAACTCAGATGAAAAAGCTATTTTAGAAAATTTGAGTACCCAGTAATTTTTAGTACCCAGCCTGCTATTTTCGGCTCTATTTTCGGCTCTATTTTCAGCTATTTCTAGCTAAAATTGCACTATAATAGAAAATAATTGAAATTATTCTAAGTACCCAGCCTGCTATTTTCGGCTCTATTTTAATCTATTTCTAGCTAAAATTACGCTATTTTTTCAATTTTTATGAAGTGTCGATTATATTTGAGAATAGACGCTATTTTGGAAAAATTTGAAAATTATTCCAAGTACTCAGTCTGCTATTTTCGGCTCTATTTTCAGTTATCCTAGCTAAAATTACACTATTTTTGCAATTATTATGAAGTTTCGATTATATTTGAGAATAACTAGCTATTAGACGCTATTTAAGAAAAATTTGAAAATTAGTATAAGTCCACACTTTTCTTTTTTCGGCTCTATTTTCAGCTATTTCTAGCTAAAATTGCGCAATTATAGAAAATATTTGAAATTTTTCTAAGTACCCAGCCTGCTATTTTCGGCTCTATTTTAAGCTATTCCTAGCTAAAATTACGCTATTTTTGCAATTATTATGAAGTGTGGATTATATTTGACCACAATGTTCTACTCAAATTTTAAACCTTAAAAATGGCAAATAAAATATTAGATCCAATCTTTAGATTATACGATCCGATTCGTCATTCATTTAACAAGAAAAAAGAGGATTATATTATCATCTCACCGACTGTTGGTTCTAAATCCCAATTGAATGATGGTGGTAGAATTACCTTCGAAATAAATTCATTATCGAATTGGTTGCTTCTTTCCGATGCTTATTTCAGATGCGATTTCAAAATAAAAGATGGAACTCCCAATGAATATCGTGTACCACAAACTAATACAACGTTAGAAAACAATTTCTTTCCATCTTTATTTAGCGAGATGGTTTTGGAAGCTGGTTCAAATCCGATAGAAACAATTAAACACCCTGGGGAATTCGACACAATGTTGTAAACAGTTTGCAAAATTAGAAATAACGAATCTCCAACTTTTCATACCCGTAATAACACCATCAATTGAAGTAGAAACGAGAATATTCAACTCATTAACTAAAGATATTGAAATAGCTTTTCTTCATCGTAATACGGTAGGTAGCATGACTTTAACTGGAGAATCCACCACGTGGCCAATCACTAACACTATTAAACCAGCAAGATATTTAATGGTTGTTTTCAAGAACTTACCAGACTCTCAGATTAATAACAATAATGTCTTTAGAGTAGCAATGAACCAAACTCAAGATCCTTTAATCCATAAAGTTCAAGTAAGATTAAACAATGATAATTATCCTAACCAACCTTTAACAATTAATCCAACCACAAAGGATTATAATGAATTGTATAGAAACTATGAAAATATGTGTGAGTTATTTGGAAATCTACCTCAGTTTGAATATGGAGATTTTGCACTTAATCATCCAATCTTTTGTTTTGATCTATCAGCTCATCAAGAAGATCTTTTCAAAACAGGAGTCAACATAAATATTCATATTGAAAAAACACAAGGAGATGTAACTGGTTATTGTTTACTACTCGAAGAAGCAAAACATTTAATTAAAATAGCAGATAGAAGAATGATAAGAATTAAGAAATCAGCTTTAGAATATAGACCTCCTATAGAACCCACACCTCGTATAGAACCTCATCACCCCAAAGCGATTGAATATGGTAGTATTATAATTAGGACAGTAGATGATGTAAAACATTATTTTTCAAACCCTAACCCAGATTTACCAAAGAGCATTTTAACAATCGTTGATGAAGCGGGGTTACGGTTTAATGGATTTAGTCCAAATACCCCCGAATTTATAATCGATACAAAAGATTATATATACACATTAACGAGAGGATTAATAGATTTAATGAATGGCGGGGATGCTGGTATTGCCGATTATAAGGATTTAGTAGCATACTCAAAATATCTATATGCAATAAGAAAGACGGGACCCGAAACAAATAGATCAAAAGAAGTTGATTTATATGTAACAAAAGTTATTGAGCATGATGGGGAAACAGGTGATGAATATGAAGATGAAAGTGATAAAATTATACATGAAATCGATTCCCTTTTAGGAAATGCAGGAGAAGGTATAACGTTTTTATCCGACAACAAAGAGGAACTACTTAATAGATTATGAAGGAAGGACATCGATCACACAGACAATATAATGAAGTAAATTGTATATTAAAAAGACTCCTAGAGAAAGGTATTATAGATAAAAATGATTATAAAAGCGTGATTAAAAATGTCAAATAAAGAACAACTATTCGTTATCACATCAAATAAATCAGACATTAAATTGTCTCTAGATTATGAGTACGATCTCAATCGCAATCAAGAATATGAATTGGGATAAAAATATTTCTCTGTTTACAATTCCATTAGAAATATCAACGAAAAAAATAATCAAATAAAAATATCAACATTCAAAACCATACGTTTACTACCGGGAACCGACGAATACGTAGCCATTAACGATTACCTATCTGAATATGGAGGAAGTGTCAATGGTAAAAACAATATTGAATTCAAAGGTAATTTGAATCTGAACAAAATAAAATTGATATTAAGAAATAAGAGTCAAGTTGATTTCAATGTAGAAAATTCATTGAATACTTTATTAGGATTTGATAAGCAAATATACACGCAATCCACTTTAGCACCACAAGATATAAATCTAGAAATCAAAGATGGTAAAAATAGGTTTATAGATTTTGGTTACGAGGAAATTGTTATTCAACTTCATCTAAAACAAAAAAATTAACACTCTTCATTCTCTTCTTGAATAGTAAGGTAATCGAAATCATCA